CATCCTTAGAGCTGAGCATGAATCCTAAATATCTTCCACATTCGTCCCTCAAGTGACTTTTTTAGACAATATTGGATTGGTTAAAATTGGTCACTCCAGTAAACTTCAAATCTGAAATCATCATGGTGTCACTGTGACTAAGGTACTTGATTTTTATTGTTACAATAAGCTGTTGAGGTTGTGCTTTGCCTGTCAGCACCTGTGTGTCTGATCAGACTTAAAGCTGTTTGTTTGCTCTTACTGACATTGTTTCCTTTTTTATAGATCCTTGTTTGTGTTTTACTTACTCTCTGATGTATGTTGCTTTAGATAAAAGCGTCTGCTAAGTGAATTGTAGAATTGCAGAGAAATAATAATAATAATTGAAAAAGAGTGAATACTGATTCTGATGGGTTTGTGTAAATCACTGTGGAGAGTCAGTTATAACTGTGGTGTGGTGGTTGAAGAAAGGGTTAATCATCGGGGTTTTAGGTTCCTTTAATCTGAATGATAGGAATCTATGAATTCTGGATTTGTGGAATTGTCTGTCTGGCTACACATTCAAATATTAGAAATGCTAAATACACACATCAGCTTTCTTACACCATGCTGTCTAAATGAACATAAACAATATGCATTTAGCTTCCAAATAGCTCAAAGAATGCTAACAAATTAAAAGTATTTCCAGTAATGCTAACAGAAAGAAAAGTATGAAATAAACACAAAAAGAACTTCTATTATTGAAGCACAATCTCCAGCTCTCACCAAAACATAAATTTTACTTTTGACTGCAAAACTTACAATTATACTTTCTTTCTATGCAGCATTTCAATGTGCAATCTTCTGGAGGTAGTCTAACAGCACAATAATAAGTATGACATTTCAATACAGGTAACAAAGCTAGACAGACAATAAAAGCAGACTCGAATATAAAAGCAAAAATAATACAAACAGATTAAAAGCTTTTTTGTAAACAATGTCTTAAGTAGAGAATTAAAACGAAGGACTGACTCTGCATGTCTGATCTCCTCTGGCAGGCTGTTCCAAAGTCTGGGGGCTCTGTCAACAAAAGCCCTGTCCCCTTTAGTTTTCAGCCTGGACCTTGGAACAGCCAGCGGAGATCTGCCAGAGGATCTCAGACTGAGTCCTGGTTCATAAGGGGTTAAAAGCTCAGAAATGTAATGTGACAATACTGTCATAACTTAATGTTGATGCCAGTGAACTAAAGTTTTGTCTACAGTTGAGATGAAGCACATAAACGCTCTCTGATTATGTTGACTCCATCAGAAATCCACTAACATCACTTCATTGGACACTTTGGGAAACATTGAGAGGCTTAAGATATGACGACAAGAGCTATTCAAGCAACACCTGCTGCATATCGCCCAAGAAAAAGGCCTCCCAGCCCCAGAACGACAAGTGAAGAAGGCAGGCAGAGATGGTATAGTGATGCTGATGGTGGACATCTATGGCCAACAGTCTGTTGAGCTGACCAAAGACGTTTTACAGAATGAACAAGACTGATCTGCTAAAGACGCTCTCAGGACCAGCTCAGGATTCAACACTGAGAGTAAGAGGATGAAAACTGACACATTACACAAATATATATGCTTCATTAAATACTAAGACTACAGACATTGTTGAGCTGAATCAAGTCTCCTGGTTTTTGTGACGTTAATAATGAGTACATTTAAGTTTAACTTTTCGCCAAGTACCGCACAGCCAACCCACATAAGTTATACATTTTTTATTTATTTTTAAGATGTTGAGATGGTGCCATGTTATATTTTATTCACAAAATGACTAAAACTGACTAAAGCTGCTTTTTGTCTGATTTTAATGAGTCCTTTCTCTCCCCCTTAGAGAAACTTCAGCAAAAAGATCCACAACATGTGAGTAATGTTACATCAGACACTCTACAGTTTTCATTTCTAACTATTTAATTAACAATATTTACTTACTTTTTTGATGAAGCAGGAATCAACCATGACATCGGATTCACAGCTTTTAGAAACACTGGAAGAATTAGGTTCAGGGGACCTGGAGAAATTCAAACATGCCTTGCTCCACACTAAAATGAAAGAAGGGCTCCCAAAAATCCCAAAGGACCAAGTGGAGACCGCAGACAAAGATGAGATAGTGAAGCTGATGGTGGAGATCTATGGCCAACGCTGTGTGGAGGTGACAGAGGATATTTTAGAGATGATGAACAGGACTGATCTGGTCGGAAAGTTGTCAGAAAGAAGCTCAGTATCTAAAGGTAAGTTTTAAAAAAAAGTGTTATTTGACTATAAAACATTAGGTGTACAGAACCTGGACTGCATTTTTAAACCTCTATCTTCTTTTAGTTTTATAATGCTTCTGTGACGCTGATCAGCAGGGGACAGAGGCAACATGTGTTTAGGCTTTTCTGTCCATTTGTTTGTTGAATGTCCCATGTTTTTAACTAGAGTGTCTGGAGTAAATATCTTTAAAGTTTGCACAAACAACCACTAGGATAAAGCAATAGTGTGATCAAAGGTTAAGGTCACTCACCTCACATCAGTCCCATTCTCATGACAGCAAAATCACAGCAATGGATAAAGGGGATTATGTTGGGATGGGATGTTGTTTTAAAAAAAAAAGTCTGATAGAACATCATGCGTACAAATTCTCAAAAGTAGGTGTAGGTCCAAAGTTTTGAACACACTACTCTTTTTCTTCATGTTTTTTTTTCTCCAGCTGTTAGAGAAGGGTTTATGAACATTCACATGCTCTGCAGACAAACACAGATAAAAAAAAAAAACACCTTTTCCAGGTCAGTGTTCTATAACCCCGACCCGACGGCAGAAAATAAGAGATACATATAAGAGATGTAAGGTTACTATTCGATAATATATGTCTGAGTAACATACTTTAAAGAAACCTTTGTGTCTTTCCAAGGGCTTTTGGTTGTGTGGAGCCTGACGACTGTGGACAAGAAATGGTAATCCCATCCATCATTCATTTGTTCCGTTTCTTTTTAATTCAGTATTTATTTTATTTATTCATTCATTGTTGCCAATATAAAATGATTGTCTCTGTCAGCCGGACTCTGGTCACTGGACCAAACTTGATCCTGAAGTGAACAGTACTGATGGAGATGAGTCTCCTACATACAGGTACAAATATCTTCCTTAATACTGACCAACAGCAAATAAGATTTTTTTTTTTTGACCAAATGAAAACAATACTTTTCTTTGTTACTCCTTTTGTGCCTAAAACACTACAGTACAGTTATATACAAACTCATTGATGTCTTTCTGTGTCACTTAGCCTACAGAGTGAAGTAGGAAACGGTTTTGAATGCAATGTCTCCGGCATTCGCTGGATCTGTAAGGATAAGGTCAGCTTTCAGTACAAGTTTTGCTCTTGGGAGGAACACATTGAGAGGATGGAAAGCTTGAAATACTTGCCTGCAGGTCCTCTAATGAACATCAAAGTCATTGCTGGAAAGTTTGATGAAGTGTACCTGCCACACTGGATCTGCATAGGTGAGTGGAAATACAGCAGAAAATAACTTAAAGGTCACATATTATCCTCCTTTTAACCCAGATTAAATATGGTAAGTCTCAGAGGTCCCCAGAACATGCCTGTGAAGTTTCTTGCAAAAAATCCACTCTGATCCTGTATTAGATCATTCCTATGAACCTCTCTATTTAAACCTCTTCCCAATAAGGGGAAATCTCCAAACGACTTGTTTGAGCACACATATTCTAACACATATTAGTGTTCTGAAAACATGGTGACGTGTATTTTGCATAATATGTGACCTTTACAATTGAGCAACTAACATAATTTAAAAGAAAAACTGATGCAATTATTTCTTTTCACTTATGTGTGCATTTGTATTTTGTGCAGACGGCAACACTGACATATTAGGAGAGTTTGCCGTCCTCCACATCGATGACTGTGGTGATGTTGTGGAACAAGTTTCCGAGTTCACGTCTTGCCATGTCAAGTTAGCTGAACCAGTTTTTTCGCCAAAGGGGGTTCTGATCAAATTTGGTGTGCGTGTGAAAACACGCTGCAGCGTGTTGATATTTAAGATGAAAAATACATTCTTCAAGCTCAAAGTTTATCTGATCCCGTGTGATCCTGGTCTTCGACAGGTTATTACTTATCCTGATTTCATAAATATAAGTGATTCAAATCATGATTGTATCAAAAATGATCACAAATCAGCTTTTGTTGCAACTTTCTATTGTGTTTTTTTTCTACAGGAAATTCTCAAGATTGAAAAAAACTACGAAAACAAAGAAATTGAAGTACCACCTGAAAATATGCACTTGAGAATGAAGGATGACTTTATCCTATCAACCGATATGGATGGTGCAGAAATTTGTCCCGAAGTATGTTTTGAGCTGCATTTAAATCTATGAACTGTGGTTCTGAATAGTTGGATACTGTTGGATAAGTCAAATTGAACAATAATTTAAAAGTAGGGTTGTCAATAATAATGCATTAATCACAATGTGATTAAGGTGCAAATTGAATGCATTAATTTGTTTTAATCATCTATATTGTGTGCTTTATGATGCTTTCAGAGTACCATAGTAATCCCACCGCAGCGTCTTCTTTATTCTTGATGCCACAGAGATAGATGATAACAACAGCACTTCACTTTTGAATGGCTAATTCACACATTCCGCACAGTTGACAAGTCTAAGTAATAGGCACCTTGTGTCAAACAGAATTAAAAGATCAACAAAGTACGAGTGTGTTTTATACCTAGCATTTAAACAATATTTAGCAAGATACAGCAGATTTATCTTTTTATGTCTTTTGATTCAAAAGAACATATCACCTTTTTGAAAAATGCATAAATTATAGCAATTTAAAAAAACTGGTGCTACATTACTTCAATGTCTTTCACACATTTTTCCCCCACAGGAAGTCAAGCTCGAATATCAATTCACCGATCCACCGTACTTTAAAGTACGTATAAGAAATCCAGACACAGACTTCATCCTCAAGCTTACAAAAAAAAAGAGAGTACACCAGTGTGGACCCGCAAATTGACGAAGGTTTGAATACATTAAAACTGTTTTTTTACTTAGAATTATTACTGATGCAGAGTAGGTGACTGCTTTTAAACAAAGCAGCAGATCAAAAATAAATTATTGATCTAAGCATTTTACTTTTCAGATGATTACCAAAGCAATTCCCATGCACCAGGTAAGCCATTCTTATCAATCATTCTTTTAGGGTTACATGACAACAAATTTCATTAGGCCTAATTACTAATAAGGTAGGTAATGCAATGACAAGTAAGCTTACAAACAAAGCAAATGGTTAAGAACTACGTTTTACATGCTCTTTCAAATAAAACAACTTCACATTTAAAAAGAAACTTAATTTTTTGTGAAAAAAGATATTTAGGCACTAGCCCATTATACCTGAACATCATGATTTATCTCAAGACGGACCCTGCTGATACTCAAGTCTGATATTTCAAAAAACAATTATACTTGGTCACATTGTTTTAACAAATAATTAGACCCATGCCAATTTATAAAAATATCATTAGATCTCATGCATAGCTTATTTGATGGTCTTATAGATCTTTTACCAAAATGTGGCCCATTTTAGCTAACTTAACCCTTATTGTTGTTGTATTATATATCAGTTGGAAAGCCTGATTAGTCACCTTTACAACGAGGTAGGGGAGAGCGGGGTATCTTGTCACACTTTTGGCTTTCACCTAAAATTCTCGGTCTAAGTATATCACAGTCACTCAATTTCTGTATGTTACATATCACTTAGCAGACGCAAAGCATCCAAAGCGATGTACATCAGAGAGTAAGTACAACACTAATCCATTCATACACTGCCACTGAAGCAGCCGGAGCAATGCAAGATTAAGTGTCTTGCCCAAGGACACTCGCCATGTTGCTCAGCTGGGATCAAACCCTTGACCTTCCGGTTGAGAGCGACGACTCTACCAGCTGAAATCTTAGCTAAATATGAGAAGTCGTTGCTAAATATTTTGTTTGTATTCTATATATTAGCTTTGATTATAAATATTTACAATTTTAGCTAAATATATAGGATCAAAGCAAAATATTTAGAATGTAAACTAAATGTTTAGAAACGTAGCTAAATATTTATGATATGATTTTTTTAGGGCTAAATGTGGAGAAATGTTGTTGTTATTTGTAGTGTGTGTAACAGGTACGGGATGGAACCTGCTTACAGCTTAAAGTATGTCTGTAAAAGACAAAGAAAACACACTGAGTCGACTGTAGTTGTTCACTCTTCTGTCGCTTCTGCCAGACTGAAGCAGAGCGCAGCAACTATAACTTTAACCAAAACACAGATACGTTTGTATAATATTCATACAAAATAACCAAATACAATAACAAAATGTGACAACACATTTCGGTGTGTCACATGTGCGCAACTTTACAATCGGCGCCCTATAATGAGGTCGGGCTTCCTTTGCAGGACATTCAAAGTGGCCTATTATCACAAAAATCAGCAACAATTAGGCTACAACGTTAAGAAATTGATATGTTTTTTTGTGCAATCATACAAAATGTAGTTGAAATAGTATAGTTTATAGCACAAATTAAAGTAACCTTTTTGAACGAGCCCGCTCCCTTTTACTTTTGCTTTCGCTGACCACTAACCAAAGATCGTCTATAATAAAGATTAACCACCACGAGATTTCCTCCATTCCAAGCAGTAGCTCTCATTTCCCTCTTAGAAACGGGGGATAGGATTTTCAGTAAAGAATTACATGTGATATTTCAGTCAGAGTCGAAGGCTTGAATCCGACCTCTGCCTCCTTTCCCGCATGTTATTCCCCACTCTCTCTCTCTCCCTGATTTCCGACTCTTTCCACTGTCCTGTCTCTACAATAAAGGCACAAAAAGCCCACAATAAACCTTTAAAAAAAAATCCTGTGAACATCCAAAACTTAGAAATCCACTGATGTATTTTCACTGACTAATACGTTAACAGTAGAACTCCAAACCTTATGAGATTGAGAAATGAACCTTCAAACCGACAACCCTTTGGAAGACACTTTAGCTCAGTTGAGGGAGCAGGCCGCCCCATGGGCTACAGTCCTTGAGGAATCGACTGCAGATTCAACTCCAAAGCTCAGACCTGCGATGCATGTCGACTGCAAATTTCCTGTCTCTTCAGCTGTCCTATCAATAAAGGTTAAAAAGGCCAACAAAGAAATATCTTCACAGTCTAAAACCAATCCAATCCTTTTCTCTGTTTTTGTTTTTAGCTGCAAGACCCTCAGCCGGAGCAACTGGTGTAGATACCACATCCGATGGTAGGAGGACACGTCGTATAAGGCTGTCATGAAAGAAGTCATGGATCATATCCTTCAGTAGCTGACTGTAAAGGTCACTTTGTAATTCACCACAGAGGTGGATATTTCAAACAAGCCAAACTTTTCTGATCTAAACAGAGTTCAGGCTCAAGAAACAGAAAGCTGATAATTGCTACTAATGAGTATAAAGGAATATTTTGACGAGTTGAAAAGATGTGCATTATTTTTATGGGTTAGATGAGAATATTTATACCACTATGATATAAGTAGAGTTGGCTTCAGCTAGATTAGCATCAGGACTGGAGGTAAGGGCAAACATCTTGATGGCTAAAAAAAAGCTGTCTTCCAGCTGATCTACAGCTCACTGGCTGACAAGTAGGGCTGCACAATATTGGAATAAAACAGACAGTGCGGTATTTTTTCTCTTTATGATATATGTTGGATATGAAAGTGTAAGTAATGCTAGATAATCAAAGGTAATCTACACACAAACAGTAATTACAGATGATACTTTTTAAAGCACTCTTTAAGAATAAGATCGCTCCTCTTGTAATATAGAAATGAGAGAACCCTTTTCTCTTCTTCTAAACAATACATTTTCTTTCTTTTCAACAAGTGAAGTCAGGCACAGAAAATAGTGTCTGATCCTACCTTCTTTCTTCACTCTGAGTTTCAGCTTTTCCCCTCTGGGTGAAGATTCAGGGTCCCTCAGACCCGGCTGAACAGTTACAAACATTCATTTGTGCCAATGTCCGTTAATATTCTGAATGACAGGTAATGTAGGATGTGCCCAGGGTCCGTGCAATATGCCAAATGTTACTGCTGCAAGAAGGTGTTTTTATGTATATGGAATTGTTACATGAAATGCTTTATGTTTTGTATGATCTATATTTATGTATTTTCACTCTCTTGTAACTGCAGGACAGAGTCCAAAAATGATTTCCCTTTGGGGAAGATAAAGTAAATCTTGATCTTGATATCTTGATCTTGAAGTCGGCCCCTGCTGGCCATTACAAAGAATGCATGTCTAATGCACCTCCATGTTGGCTTATTTTGGGGTTTTTAGAATATGCCAACTATTTTCTGCAGACTAAAGTTATCAAGTTGGCTTTATGTTATCTCAAACTACAAACAGTCCTTGACTATTTTTTTCTCCTTTCTCTCAGACCAACACTTTGTGGATAAATATCAACTCCAGCTCACCGACAGAGTGAGCCACATGGATCCCATTCTGGATCGGCTCCTCGATAGAGGTGTCCTCCAGCGTGAGGCTTACGATACAATCAGAGCTCTGCCGACCTCTCAGAAGAAGATGAGAGAGCTCTACTGCGGTTGCCTGCAAGCTGGTGCTGCTAGCAAAGATATCTTCTACCAAATCCTTCTGGAAAATGAGAAATTTCTCATTGACGACCTCAATACAAAGCACTAAATGTTGGGGTGAAATCTTTTTTAGACCAAAACCAGTTTTTAATACATGAATAATTGGGAAATATTCATTGCAATGTTATGTCTCTATGTGGGTTTCCTATTTGACTTTTGACCAGATTCAGCAAATATGATGATCATGCAAAAATAATGAACACAATTTATAATTGAAGAGCTCTCCTTTTTTAACCTCATTAATTGATGTGAATTAAAACCGAATTATATGAATTCTGCCAAATGCTAAAAGATTGTTTTTCCAAGTCTTTTTTTAAATACATTTTCATAAACACCATAATATCATAACACAGTCGGGGAATAGAGTACAGAGCTGAAATGTACCGTTGACTCGTCTCTACCTCATGAAAAGCTGCTGCCAGTTTCGCTAAGCCAGTCAGATGTGTGTTTCTTGCAAAGGGTGCACACCGTTCTGAATGTTTTACTAGATGTTCCCGGCATGTATATCTATTAACCCATGAGTTTGGTGACGATACGTTGGGTCGTTATGATTTTATGAATTATCAAAGTTAAATGACCATGTAATAATCCTAACTCGGCCTACGAAGCTGCTGATCAGTGTAGCTCCCAATCAACAGCGGGAACTAAAGACTCGCTGAAAGTTTGGTGGGATTCGGACCATGCTACGTCATGATATTAATTATAACTTTTTTACCCTACAAGGATACTGTTACATTTGGATGGTGTTTAAAAATGTCTGCTTCATTGAAACGTTTTCTAATCTTTAATAAAACATTCAAATTTGTATGTGTGGTTTAATATGTTGAGTGTGAAGTCTCTTTAAAATTGTAAAGTAAATACAGTGATGTAGAATTCACTCCTGTTTCGACCTTTACCTACAAGTAAAAAATATATATATTTTCATCTAAATATTGATTGTTTCCGTATCTCTTCAGAGAAGTTCAAGTCCTTACAGTCACATTGTTGTAAAGTTGGATGTTGTAAGAAAGAAAATATTCAAATTTTAACTTTTTCAAATACAGTTTTAAAACTACAAACATGTATACAGTGGTATGTACACCAACTATGAATAACAAGATGTATTCGTTCATTCATGTGATGTAAGAGTGTACTGCACACGCATCTATCTTTCACATTTTTAACAACTGTTATTTGTTTATAAGCGATCAGTAAACTGGAGGTTGGTTTTGAGGAGCAAAGGGGCTTTGTTAGATAAATAGAGACAAAGAAACACGTTTTACATTAATCATTATTTACATTAATAAAGTTTCATATAAGATCATTAATGATCTTCGTGTTTGGAAAAATGTTATGTGTTCTGATAATCCCTATAATTTAGAACCTAATAAATCATTTTTAGTGTTCCTAGGACATTTTAAAGTATTTGTGTTTATAAAATACAGAGTTCATTATCGGATTATCAGTAAAAAAATAAAAAAAAGCCCACAAATAGGCCTCATCAATGGACAATTCAATATTAAAGCTTTTTGCATGTAGAAATTGTCCTCATGGTTTTAAGCAGACTGCAGGTTGTTTGTGTTATCAGGTAAAATAAAGAGACTAAACACTATTACTGTGTTTGTATTTCATTAGAAATAACACAGTGCGTATTTGTGCAGACACAAACAGCTGTTAAAGCTGACTGACAGCTGAACATGATCAGCTGATGTCATCGTCACTAAGGTGGGATGGACCATAGACTGTAAACAGCAGGGATATCATAGCTCTTAAAACATATTTCCTCTCGCCTCTGCTTCATTTCCTTGCATCTCTCCGCGCATCTCTGGTTGGAGGGACTCAGAGGAGGAGGCAATTAATGGAACTGAGACGTATCCTACCCAAAAGCTACGCAGCACAGGGCTATCTTCGACATCCTGGTAATAGATGAGCAAAAGGTAGACATGTGACTGGGCTTTAAACTTGTTCTTTTTTTAAGAGTTGATAATTACTAAAAACATTTTGACGCGTGGAAAGACAGAAACAAGGTGAGTATTATTTTATCAACGTCTGAACCAAGGGGCAACCTCCGGTCTCGAAAAATGAAGCCTATGCGGAAGTACAAAAAACTGCAGTTCCTCGAGGTTCCGCTTGAGGCTGGCTGCAGAAGCGCCGGAAGTGCCATAAGCCCACAGCCAAAAAAAGCCCGTTTTTACCACAGGAATCAACATGTTTACAGCCTGGTTCAAAAAACGAGATATATCTGAGAAGTTGACGGCCCCTTCTCCTCACACTGTGGGGGGGGGTGAATTTTTTTATAACTCATCGGATTTTATTCTTTTAAGGAAAACGACTATGCCCATATTTGGTTGTGTCAGATTTGATTGACAGCTCTGTGCGGTCAGCAGGTCAGGAGGCTAAAAGCTTGATCCGTCTGATTTCTCCTCTTTCTTACTTCGTTTGGAGAGTTTGTTTAACACATATCTGACAACATACATGGCTTGCTGTGCGGTTAACAGACCATCCAACAAGTTGATGCTTCAGTTTTTTTCGGTAAGTGATATAGTAGTGTTATATTTACTGCTTACTCATGTGTTTATATTTACGGACCTAGCTTGTTTAGCGTTAGCTTGTAAACCAGTCGGCTAACTGTGTAGCTCATTATTTACATTATTTACGGTCAATGGTTTAGAAATGTTTGTTGTTAAGATGTTGTTGTTGAAAATAGTGAGTTTGTGTGATGTTAGAAGCTAAAGGTTCATCTCGGTGGTTATCTGACGTTATGATGAATGTTATACTCCACCTAAATGTGGACATTAAAAAACAAACTTTGTGTAGTAATTATCCGTCAGTAACATAAACTGAACTGAACCTAATGTGCTGTGTAGGTTATAGAGGATGACATTAAAGTTACATGGTTGATGTAGTGTCTTAAGGTTTGAGCAAACTATTAACAAATAAAAAAAACTTCACTTTGTAAGAGCATCTGTAACCATTAAGAACTATATTAATAACCATATTAATTTTCACTGAACTCATACACAGAATATAGCAGTAGAAATATCAATAACATATGAAATATGTATGAAAATAAGATATAAAGCACATAGATATAAAGTATAAGAAATAGTTTGAAGAATACAGCCATGTACTGAGCTCATGTTAATAATAAATGAGTTACTGTATGTTCTGTACTAAAGCACAGAGAGTTGGGACCTGTTAATGATTTAAATAATTCAGATTATATTTGTTTCATGTTAAGATAAAGTACTATCCACAATAAATTGCTGAATTTTTCCTCACACAAAATCTGAGATAATTTGATGTGGAATATCATTGTGCAAGTGAGAGAGCTGAAAACAGCATGATTACAATAATGTTTATTTTCTTAACTTTGAATAGATGTTGATTACCTGAATACTGTACCTTTGTTGTCTGGGTAGTACACTGTTGAATTTATAAATGTGCTCTTACACACAGATGAATACAGAAAAATAGATGAGAACAAACAAAATGATTTAATGAATAACTGATATTTTTCTCTCTTTCTTTGCCATCCTGAAGACCCCTCACTAAAAGTCCATGTTCTCCTGGATCCATGTCACATGCTCGAGCTTCTTCTGAATGACTTTTCAACAGTCGAAGTTCTGCTGAGAGAAGATGGCCAGCAGACAGGACAGCAGTACATGAAGGAGCTCCACAGGCTTCAGGAGGAGGAGGAGGGTTTGCACCTTGGAAGACTGTATTCATGCTGTTCAAATAAAAATAGATCTCCTCCAAACAACTCGCAATCAAACTATTTTCTTCCCATTTTAAAACCCTTTGTCCAGTTTAGATGGGAGAAGTTGATATTATGTGATATTGATCAGGGAAGACTACATTTCTAAATCATTTTTAACTGTGTTTTTATTCACAAGTTATTGATCTTATTTACTCTCCACGTATCTTGATTTTAAAATGGGGCTGTGTTTAAGGGCAAATTTTTGCAATGACTCTGTTCCATCCCACTTTCAGAAATGAACTACATTAGTATTTATCAAAAGAATAAGAAGTTGTGTAAAAGTAGACTTCCTTCCCTAAGCTATTGAGTTGAGCATTAATCTGAAATGTATACTCATAAGTAGACATAAAGGAGTGCATTTATATAGAAATATTTATTTAATCTGAAAAACAACATTAAAAAAAGTCTGTTTTTACAGCAGAGATTAATATGTTTACAGCTTGGTACAAAACAAACAAATAGGTGTGATTAGCTCATGTCTCGATGGACACACACTGTACGGGGGGGGGGTGAATGTTTTGATGACTCATCAGTTTTGATTTGATGAAGGATAAGAGTTATTCACAATAAGGTGTGTAGCTGACCAGCTTGACAGGTGGGCGCGGTGTAACGGTTTGTCAAGATTCTTAAAACCCATCTCAGCTCCAGCTCTCAGTCTGTGGGTGACATCACTCAGTCCGTCCGGGGGAGACCTCCCTCACAGCGAGCTGTTGAAGAGAAGCAACTGAAGTCCACCCCAGAAGAACCAACAAATACAGATGTTGTTGAGGCTCAGGTTTCTTCCTCTGTCTCTGCAGCTCTCTGGGCACCTCGACGGACCAGTCACCAATAATCCACACTGTGTCTATAGGAGAAATACAAAGGTGTTCAATTAATGCCTCAGACAAGACAAAATGTACAGTTACCTACATGTGACAGTTCAGGGTGTTTTTTTGTTATGAGCCACATCTGCAGGAATAATATTGAACAAGGTAGCTGCAACTCATCATAATAGATGCCAGTCTTAAATACTATTTTTTCTAATACTTAAAGTTTTTGTTGGAAGCTGACACTGTCCACAGACTCCATGACTTAACGGGGTTCGAAAGAA